GCTTCATGACCCTAGCATTTCCTTTTTTTCTCCCTACATTTATATAAATTATAAATTAAACTAAGCAATAGGATGAAAAATTTTTTTCAGATTTTGTAATTCTGGGGTCTTGTTTTTCTTCATCCAAATCCAGGAATTTGTTTTACTTATGCTAAGTTTCGAAAAAACACTGTATAAAATTCATTATATTTTATGCATACTGGTCAATGTGTTAAAATTCTGTAATTTTTTCATAAGAAAAATCTCATGTTGATGTTCTAAATTGACACAAAACATTGTTTATTTAAGATGGAATGATTTATTATGACATGTCTCTAATTCAATTTTAGACATATTTATTTACAATTTTTCTAGTTGAATTGTTCACCTATATTGCATATGATCCATTATTGTACATAATTAGGTTGCAATAAAATTTTGTATTCTATATAGATACTACCTTATGAAAATTGAGATGTAGTAGAGTGTGAGGGGTGTATAATAGATTCACACCAGCCCTGTATAATTGCTCACCTTAGCATTTTATTAATTTTGATAAGGGTTATTGATTTGTATTATTATTACTATCTCTCCCCCCTCTCTCTCTCTCTATATATATATATATATATATATATATATATATATATATACATATATATTGTATATTTGGGCAGCATTCCTTCTTTTATACATGTTCCAAGGAATATTTTGTATTTCATTCAGTTTTTGTCATGTTCAATTGTTTTTGAAGGCTAAGTATGTGGAAGAATTATCTATAGTGTTTATAGTCCTGATAACTTTTGGTAAACACTTTAGCCATTTTCAAAAGAGTTTTTAATTTTTGTGGTAACAAAGATTGTTAGTATATTTGTTTTGTTCCCTATACTGTGTTGTGTGAGAGTAATAGTATATATAACTACTGAATAAAAAAAATGACAAAATATTCCTTGTCCATTACATTCAATGAAATGTGTACATGTGTGTGTGTGTGTGTGTGTATGTGTGTGTGTGTGTGTATGTATGTGTGTGTGTGTGAGATATAGCATACTTTTGATCCTGGACTAATCTCCCCAAAGTGGTTTGTAGTGATCCAATTAAATTGTGAATTTGCTGAGCAGTGCCCCAAAAATATTGAATTTATGTTACATTATTCTTCTGTGAATAATTGGTAATAAAAATAATAATTCTGTTTTTTTTTTTCAGTAATCGATAAATAATGTCTGATTTATTTGTCAAAGCTTTTTGCTCTCAAGTTTTCAGCAAGGCAAAGTCTCATGTTAGAATCTGGCAACATTTCATATTTTGTTATTCAATCAATTTTAGCTGATATCTCAAAAAAAGTGTTTGAGTTGGTATCTCTGGTCTATTGTTGGCTGTGTGACAAAACATTATGTATTCAGTTGAAAGAAACCTTTATAGTGAGAGCTCAGTTGTCACTGCTGTAGATGAACAGTTTCTGTTGTTGATGCTTAGTAGGTGATACTCCTGACTAACTGTAACATGTGTAAAAGAGAGGAGAAAAGTTAAGAATTAGAAAAAGAAAGATGTCTCACTAAAAAGAGAAACAGACATACAGGTCGTTGGAAATGTATTTCTGAAATATATTTGATAGGGTCAGTTGGCTATCACAAGTTCTGCAAAGAAAAGGAAAAAGAAGCAAAATATGGCAGTCACTTTTCATTAGACTGTGAATTGACAAATCAGCATCTAGCTAGAAGGCAAGATTTTCTGCTAAGTTTTTATGAGCATTTGAATAAGGTAGTGAGCAGATGGTATGAAGAAAAAGTTAGAGTAGGGAAGTTTTCTCACTCACTGACAAGTAGTCCACATTTCCCTACCAGAGACAATAAAATTTGTCAATACAGACCCCATTGTGTTGTGCCATTTATTATTACAAGAAAACTTTTTGCTTGGTGAAAAGACAGCTTTTGATATTCAGTGAGAAATTGAGACTGTGGCTTTAGGGTATTGGCTTGAAGGCAGCTGATAAAATCCATAGATTACAAAATACCAGTTCTCACCACATATGGTGTTATAATGTTGACACACTAATGTATCACTAGAAAGGAAAACAAATTCTAATTTAAAAACCTTGCATTAAAGTGGTAGAGGGAGCACACTGCATGTATTACCAGAAAGAGGCGTCTAAAACACTGTGAACACAACATCTAGACAGTAATTAACATTGTCAGGCATCAGTGAATTTACTTGGTTCTTTACTGAAATATGTGCGTACATATATACAGTGTGCTATGGAGAATGTCTTCTAAATTATGAAAAAATGAAAATAACACTGACATCCCATTTTAACAGATATATTTACAAAAATTACACAAAAATATCTTGAAATACTAAAGAATAAATTTATTTAATAAAATCACCATTGGCTTCAATTACAGAATCTAGACAACTTTGGAATCTTCTGCAACTCTTCTGGACAGTCTCCTTGTTTAAGTTGGTGAATGCTGCCATAATCCTTGCCTTCAGTTCATCTTTGGTGTTACAAGGAGTTTTGTTGGTCTCTCATTCAATGGGGCCCCACATATAATTATCAAGGGGTTGCAGTCTGAGGAGTTAGGTGGCCAGATGTAAGGGGTGATGTGGTTGCAGAAATTGTCTGACAGCCATGACTGGGTTCTCCAGCTTGTGTGGCATGGTGCAGAGTCCTGTTGCCCAACATAGGGTCTTCCAGCAGCCACCCTCTTGATCCAGAGCAGCACTACCTTCTCAAGGCACTTGATGTAGGCCAACATGTTGAGTCTGAGGCCCTCACCAACAAATTTGGGAGTTCTTTTCTTATCAGAATAATCAGTGTGAGTTTTCCAAGCTGCCTTTGTAATCACCTTTAGACTCATACAGTTCTTTCTGAATCCTCTGTACTGTCCTCAGATTGACACCCAAACACTCTGAAATGTTCATATTGGAGCTTCTGGCATGAATGCAAAGCAGTACAGCATGCCATTTCCAAGTTTCTGGTGGAGTGAATTGCGTCATGGTGCTCTTTTTCTCATGGATGGTGCCCAACTGACCCTAATCAAAAACAAACATGTACATGCATGAAATTAAAAATATAAAATTGTGACAATTTATACATTTCACCCTGTATATGTGTTTATATACATGTACACTTTGTCTCTTACATAGAGAACATGTTTTATGCAAAAAAAAAAAACAAGTTCCGAGAAATCCTTTTAGCATTACATACTAATAATTATAATCAGGGACTAAATTCAGTTTTGACAAAAATGGTTCACTCAGCTAAATACAATTCAATCTGTTATTTTCTTGAAGTAAAAACTGAAGCAGAAGAGTTTTAAAAAATAAACCTTGCTTGCATTTTCAAAATATTCATTCAAAAATTAAGGTTTCAAATGCTTGAACAGAAGGCAAAGATTACAGTGTAGATATTTTATTAAAAAAATCGATTTTATCATTTATTGCAATTGAGTTGATTGTCGAAATTCATCATAGACACCCAAAATACAAAGACAATTATACCAGCATGTTTTATGTGTAAATTGTCTATTAATCTTTTACTCTACATTACTAAAGCAATGTTAATGTTTATCTGCTTATTATCTTTATGGCAATAATTATGCATTATTTAAAGATTTTATGTTGGTAATCCATTAGAATAACCTTTTGATCTCTAAAGTGATAACATTGTCAAGTTTAATCAATAAACAATGACTTAGCACTATGTCCCATTAAAACAAACCTTGTTATTTTAAAGAGTCAAAACTAGTAATCCTTTCAGGAAATGGGAGCAGGCATTTTTTTTTTAAATTGAAATGTTAGAATCATTTCACATATAAAAAGGAAAATATGGGAGAATATGTTCATATCATTTGACTTTTTTGATCATGTATTTTTAAGTGATTTTTGCCAATTAAAACTTTAGTTATATCAACAGCCTATCCAGGATTATATCACAAAACAATGTTACTGACAAAATCCCCTAATAATCTTCATCATGAAATATATAAAGGAACATTTTGTTTTTACAAATTAAAAAAAAAATACAACAAAGAAGTAGTTTATCTAAACATTAATTCAGATTATAAATAACTTTTCATAAATTAGTTCTAACACTAATGATTTTGTCTTTATATAAAAAGTGTTTTCAAATACCTTATCTTTTCCTTCAAAATCAGTTTTAATAGATATTATTTATTGATCCATATATATTTTTTTATTTCTGAGTACATATGAAGATGAGTGGCTGTGTCTCCAATTCATCCTGTTAAAACTAGATTATCTATTAAATACATGTTTGACACAATAAGAGAGCAAGAGAAACAAAACATATTTTAAGAGGAAGAGTGATAATATTGTAATGTATATTAAAAAAACAAAAAGCGGTACTTAAAAAGAGTAAAATATTTTTATGGGGTGATAATGTACATAGATTAAGTATGTGGGTCATTTTAAAAGAATTCAATAGATTTACTTTAAATTAATGGATTTAATTTTGGTTTTGCTTATTCAGATTGGTGTAAAACTGGATCAGCATTTAGTTTTAAGATTTTTCAATTATTTTTTAATTGATAAGTGAAAAATCAAATCTAAATTTCACGAGTTGATTGCTTTAAATTGAAGGCCATGGGGAGAAATTGACACATCTGTTGATATCTCATAGTATGTACAATTTGTATGCAGCAAATGAGAGGGGAGGGAAAAATAGCAAAAATTAGCGGAGTGTTGTTATCTCCCTTTACTAAAGCACTCTTCTGTCGACAACAGCCTCAGCCTGACTACTGTCTTTCGCCTATCATGGCGGCCGCAATGCGTGATCGGATATTGTCATCGATGCATAAGTGTTCATTTTGATGGCTACGTTGGCTGGCGTGCTCGACCGATGGTTTCAACGTAAGGAGCGTGCTTCTAGGTAAATAAGCGGGTGATTGTAGGTGCCCTTGATCGCTGCGTAAAGGCCGCATCGAACTGCGGGGTGGCATACGACTCTAGTGTGTGTATGTGTATGTGTGTTGTGTATAAATGATTATACCATCATAATAATCATGGACGTGAACGAGTCTCACGTGCAGACTCTGTTGGGTATGGGCTTCCCGTGCGAGAGTGACATTCGCCGTGCCCTCTTCTGTAGCAAAAATGACTTGAACCATGCCGTAGCCATTCTGACAGAGGATCACACGGGCCCCAGCTATGACCATTTGGATCAGCTCCAGCTGGGACCCACCACTGCTCCTTCCTCTTCATCTGTGGGTCGGGGCCGTGGCACCACCACTGACCAGGGTCGACTCACCACCACCACGACCACCACCACTACCACCACCGGAGGAGGAGGAGGGACCTTAGATTTTCTCAAGCAGAACCCATCTCAGCGATATGATGAAAACGTTGTCGATGCAGAAGTAAGTTGTTATTCTTGTTGATATTGTCACTCGTTCTTTCAACAAACAGATACACACACACACACACACGAATCTAATCATTAATGGACCACATTCTTTTTCTTTTTTTTTTTTGGTAACCCGCAAACTTTGTTAGTGTCCTAGAAAATCCTTTAACTTTATCGTTAATGACTCGTTTTAATTGGCAGAAAAATAAGTTCCTATTATCGAGTCTCGTCATTCCTTGGGTCTGGAATTATATGCTATGATTTCATTTTCTCGCGATAGCCCAGTCTATCTATCTCATTACAAAACCAGGTGATATTTACCATCAGTAAAACGAAAACCCCTGCACCAAAACAGTTGTATCACACCCAACCCACAATTCGTACGTCAGCAAGCTCGTCGAGAGGGCATTTGTTTTTTGTTTAACTCCCCCGAAAACTTGTCTTTTCATTTCTAGGTTTGTTTTTTTTTTGTTTTTTTTAAAGCATTAAAAATGACATCCCAGCAACACCAATAGTATCCAGTTTTTTCTCCTTGTTTTGTAACCGAATAGAAATGTATCAAAAATGTTATTCAATATTCATCATCTCTACATTATTGTTTTTGGTTTAAATATTAACTTGACCTTTTGTATTTATTGTAAAAATTATGATGTGTGGACAGTAAAAATAATTTAATTTCAATTTATCTACAAATGCAAACGTCCTATTTTCTCTGAAAGTAAAAACTAAAAAGTGCTTTCTTTTCATACCATTGTGAGTTTCAACGTTTTTTCTTAAGGACAAGGTGCTTCCTTTCTGTTCTGGAATCTAATAATCCTAATATTCAAATGTCTCCTATCCTTTACAATTTATGACAAAGAATAAAAAAAAAACTTTTTTTTAGTCTATATAATTATAATTTATAATCGAAAGAAAAAATTAAATTAACTATTGCTTCAATTTTTGAATAAATTTTCTTTGTAATATTTTTGGTGTCAGTTTATGCTTTTTTCAAAGTCTTCAACTGCAATTAACTTCATCTAAGTTTTAAAAAAAAGGCAAAAATTATTTGACTTAGTTTAAGTAATTAGTAATTAAAATAAATGTCTTCATTATTCTGGTCTGGTCATAATCGACAGACCGCTGACACCTTATTTTAGTCTTTTTATTACTCTCTATAGAAGATTCATTACTGTTTTTTTTTTTTTGTTTGACACTTTCAATTTCCTCTTGATTTGTTTAAACAAATTCAAGTGAAATATTGTCCACCTTGTCCTTACCCTTTTTAAAAAAAATTCTTTTAACACCTATCCCCAAATTTGTCTTTCATCGTGAAAGTGTCTCTTGCTTTTATTGACAATTTTCACAAAATTTGGGATAAAGGTCAATTTAAATTTCATTTTCAATTTTAAATCGGCGAGGCTCTTTCTCTTTTCATCTGACTTGTTGAAGTTGTTGCGGACTTTTTTCTTTTAAATTGAAGAAACTGTCAGCCAAGATTGAGTCAGCAATTTTGAATTCCAGGTGTAAGTAAACGGAATTTAACTGTTTGTTATATTTTTCTTAAAAAACTGACATTCTTCATTGAAAAAACTTTTAAGCTGAAAATTTTGATCTTTTTAAATGTAGAATTTACAAATGTTACTTTTCCGATTCATTTTTCTTTATCACAAAACAGAAAAAGCGAACTAACCATGTTTGATAGTGAAAAAAACTGAAGACCCCCGCCCCCTAAATCTCCCAGAATGTCCCAGGAGTAATAATTTAATGGAATATTTGATAAATATTGTTTACTACATGATGAGATGAAAAATAAAAAAAAGTGAACAAATGTTAATAATTAATTTAACAATTAACATTTTTTGTTCACTTTTACCTTCTAGGAGATTTGAGGGTGGGATTTTCTTCAGTCCCTCAATATTTTCTCTATCTAATAATGACACTCTAGTCTCGTTCGGTAAAATATTATTTCAACAATTCTTCTTACTGATTTTTCTGCTCACTTCGATGATTGTGTACATTTTCTTTGTTACCATCGATTATCTGATCATATTTGTTTTTCTCAAGTTCTGAGAAAACTAAAAGTTAGTTTTTAAATTTTTCCCATTGCATACATTTTCATTTTCAATTCTCATCGTTCGTGTTTCCGCCCATCTTTGGTCTTCTTCACCATTGCAGAAATTTTTGTTGAATATAAACAGTTACTTAATAAGACATAGGATAAAGAGAGAAAAAAAGGTATTTAATTTTTTTTTCTCAAAACTTCTTAAAGCCTCCTGTGACTCTCAGATTGGTGGTGTTCAAGATTTAAAACTAGGGAAGTGACTTCCAAAAGTAAAACTAAAAAAAAGCCACTCAAATGTACACTACACATGAGGAAGGTCAGAGATTGACTGGAACATTGTGTTGCTGAAAACAGTCAAGAAGTAAAAAAAAAAAAAAAAAAAGAAGTTCTAAGCGATTTCTATTAAAGTTAAAACAATAGCAAATTTTACATTTGTTTTCGTTCCTTATGGCTGATAAACTAAATATCCTCATCACAGGTAACTTCACTAATTTGCTGCAAAAAAGCATAACAATGATAACTCTATAATAAAAAAAAAAACAAAGTTTTAACGTCAAAAAGAGGAAAAAGAAAAACCAAAGTATTTTTTTGATTTTTTGATTTTTATTCCTTTCTGTCACGTTCGAAATTTTGGTTAAAAATTTTGTTTTTCTTTCGTCGAGGGGACCAAAGATTAGGAAATTTTATTTAGCATCTTTTTTTGCCGTAAAAAACACACTGATTTGGAAATTCTTACAAAAATCAAATAATTGTCGGATTTTAATGAAACTTTCAGGACTTTAATTAATTGATGTATGAAGTTATTTAATTTTTTTTTTGTTTTTCGAAGAAAATCTTGGTAATTTTTTTTTTTTTTTTTATTCATTTTATTAATTTATTTATTTACATCCCGCCCACTTACATAATTTTATGAAATTTCAAGAAATTAAATTTTCACTCCCTTAATATTTATGTACCTCCACAGATTTGTGATACCTAAGGCTTAAAATGAATTTTTAAAAATGAAAAATATTTCTTGAAGCTTTTAGTTTTAATTTTGAGTTAATAAATTTATCATTTCCAATTTAAGCAAAATATTTTGCTCATTTCAAAACTAATTTAAATTGACAGGAAGAAATTTCTTATTTTGCTAAAAATCTATCTACAAAAATCGGCACATTTATACTATCACAAAAAAAAAAAAAAAAAAAATTCTTTAAAAAATATTGGTGTTTGCTGAATTGTACTTAATATGTCATCTAAAACTATAAGGGTGAAATTAATACAGAATTTAAAAAAAAAATTAAAACATAAATTATTCTAATTAAAATTAAGAAAAAAAAAAAACTCATTATTCATCGAAAAAAGTTTTCAGATAGTGTCCATTCTTTCTTACAAAAGCAATTAAGAGCTTTTCTTTTTAAATAATGTTTTGTTTTATTGCATTTTTTATTTTACGATTCAGAGCAGATTTTCAGTAAATTAAATGGAATTTGTTTTACAAAGAAAAAAAAAATGATGATTTAAAATTCTCCAAGGAATTCTGTTTTTACTTTAGGAAGCATCTTTCTTACAAAGGAGAAAAGTAAGAAATAATTTACTCTTATTAAAATAACACAATATCAGTTATAGTCAATAAATACTGTAATAAAAAAAAATCAATTTTTGCTAAATGACCCATATAGATGTCAAAATTTCTCCAGTTAATGAGGGAACTTGATGGTCTGTTAAAGATATTTACAGATTTTGAAAGTAACCATCACATTTTTAGAGTCCTACTAAAAGACTAAAATGAATCCTTTCTATTTGGGAAATTGCATTAAAGTGTAAATTTAACCAAAATATTCAGTTATTTTCAATCTAATTTTTTTTTAATTATTGGCTAGAAGCAAATTAATTTCTATTTATGGAAGCTCTCAATTCAATGAATCTTTATTAATTTACAGAATAGTCAAAAGTTAAGGATCTCTCTGCTTCCTGAAATACAGATGCTAGCATGAAAATATAATTGTATAATTTAAGATAATAGTTTTTAAGTAAATAAAAGTTTGTGTATTTTGAGATTTGTTTATTTGTATATTAGCCTTGATGACAACCAATGTTGATACTTCAAATGGTTTTAGTTTTTTGCACATATTACAAGAATTGAACTCCTAATTATAATAATGCATAATTGTTGAGATTAGCTTGCTAATCCTTGAACCATTGAGAAGTGCCACTGGATTATAGTTTAAAAAACTTTTTTCTCCACCATTCTTCATTAATTTTATTTAAATATCTCTCTTCTCTCGAACTGAACTTAGTACCTTTCAAATTGAGTTAACACATATAACTGTTGCATCAGCACCTATTCTTTTTTTTTTTACTTCATTTATTCGTAATCTTGCAAAGAAAAAAGCCAATAACTTTCAAATCTATCGACTTGAATAAAATTATCTTCCAATTACGTTTTTGTGGTTAAATAGTTGTTTTTCCATCTTGTTTGATTTAATCTTCTAGGCTTTCAATAGATGTAATATTGGGCATCTTAATTTTGTCTGTGACATTTGTATCATTTCTTGTGCTGCAATAAATGAACAATCAAAAATTTATGTTTGGATGACAATGTTAAACATCAACTAATAATTATGATATTAACTCTTAAGAGTAATTCTCATGTCTATAAATGTAAATTGCTATCAGATTCTGGTAAGTTGAATTTAAATATTGATCTATATTATGAAAACTTATGAGAAACAAGAATCTTGTCTTTTACACTTTCTGTTCTGTTCCATCCTTTTGTGGCTTTTGCCTAAGATACTTTGGTCCCTGCAAATTTTAGAACAGTATCAAACTCCCAGTCAATGACCTTCTCTGACATTTTCTATTGCTGTACAGGCACATGCTCACAGTATTCATCTTTTCTTTTTTTCTGGATAACTTGCTTTGGAATACATTTTCTAAAACTTTAAACCATAGAGGTAGCATAGAATTCACCATGTCACAAGTAT